AATGCACTATAAGAGGATGTTGTTGCTGATGCCATTGATAATGTGGAGGCAAATAAAAATAGCGTATCACCATGTCGAGCAATCCATGGAAAAAAAACTCAGCTAATAACTTTAATATCTACCCTTGCCATGAACTAATTCCCAGTAATAAAAGATACTAAATTGATATGCAAACACATGCAACGTACGCCTCAGAGGAGACACGAGAACTCCTAAACCTACCAGATGTCCAGATTCAATAAGAGATAAATTAATCTGACGTAGTAAAACTGAACTGGGTGCAGAATTAATGTTTAATTACTTCCAACATCGATCGATCATCCTCTTCTTGCGGCGAACCTCTCCTTGACGGCATCCACCTCCGACTGGAGCCTGGGCCACACCACACCATGCGTTCGGGCCAGACCTTGCCGCCAGCGAGAAGACCGGAGTTACGCTCGAGTTGTTCCTCCCTCTCTGCTTGGAAGATTTCCCGCAGGTCGACCAACTCCTCGCGCAACTAAGGGGTTGTTTGGTTTGCTCCTAAAGTTTACCAAAGGTTACCACACCTCATGTTAGGTAAGTTTGACCAAGTTAGCATATTGTTTGGTTCATAGCCACACTTGTGGCAAGATTCCTTCTCATCTATTTGGGCCCCACATGTCATCAACTCAACAAAGTGTGGCACAATCCAATTTTGCTAGCTAAGGTGTGGCTCACTTTTTGTAAGCCACAACTTAGGCAAGTATGGCACAAAAAGTATGGTGAATGGTGGCAAACTTAGTATAGCATCCAAACAGCCCCTAAACCACCATCGTGTCGGCAGAAGAGCTCCGCTTCAGGTCCTCGATCATGGTGTTGGCAGCGGCGAGCTTCTCCTCCAGGTCGCGGATGGTGGTGCGGAGGCCCTCGATCTGATCGGCGTTGGCGGTATCGGAATTGGTGGGGTTCACGGCGGCGTAGGGCTTGGCGGGATGCCCGTCAGCGGTGGCGGCGGTAACGTCGCCGCCGGCGCCGGCAGCACCACACATAAGGCATGTCTTCTTGGCGGCTAGGGTTTCATCACCCTTCTCCATGGGAACGATGGGTTCTGGACTGTGTTTCTTCTCCCTACGATGAGTGCGATCTGCGAAAAAGTCACGCGCTGGTGCGGGGCCTTTCTATGCGCACGGGTGGTTTTCGTATTTAACCGGGACGCCCTCCCAAATCACGTTGGACCCTGATATGAAAGTATAATCTTTATCTTTATTACTGTTACTTAAAAAGAAACTTTGTGATAATGGTGAATCCACCAAATCCAATGGCTCACATCTCTCACACATTCACCTTAAATCCAGTGGCTCGTATTCTCTGAGAAAATTTCTTATATCTCTGAAATGAAATTTTAGCTAAACCCTTTAATGCCTCTGAATTTTGTACTTTCTTGTATACCTCTAAAATTTAATTTTGATCCCTTTCATGCCCCTCCCGTCAGTTGACCGTTAGTTGACCGTCTAATTTCTATAAAAAAAGTCCATTTTATCCTTTGGATGAATATAAAAATTTATAAATTACATTATTGAAAATGTAAAAGTTCGTCGCATGAGACTATTATAGTTATGAGTTTGCTGTGCGATACATTATTTATGAAAAAAATTATTTTTAAATAATGAAATAAAAAAATATGTATTTATTTTGTTTTTAAAAATTCATAAAAAATGAGGATCATTCGTACAAAGATATGACTACCAATGCTCACGATATTGTTTTTATGAATGCTCCCAATCAAAAAAATCCATTATCCTATTAAATTTTCAAATAAATTTTTTAATTTATTACATTTATTTTTATTTTCAAAATTTGTCAATTTTTTATGCTATAATTATTTAGTCTTATTAGTTTCATAAAATGCACACACTGTTCACTTAAAAAAATTTCAATATTTTTCAAGCTTATATTTAAACCTAAATTAATCATCAGGGGCATAACAGACATTTGCAACCAAATGTAACAGTGAAAAGATGAAAAATATAACGGCAGGGGCATGGAAGGGATCAACTCGATGTATTGTCTAGAAAATTATTCATATTCATTTATGTCTTTAATGGATTGTATTTGATATGTAAATTCAGTTGCAATCGCTGGATTTGACCATGTAAATTCTGTTGTAATCCTCAAGATTATTTTCAGTTTTGTATATATATATGTAGTCTGTTCAAGGCATATAAGTATAACATAAAATTTAGCGACTACCAGAAGATTATCATCTATAGACAAAAATAAAAACGGTCCCACTTAGGACCAACCAATTTTGCGATGTGATCAAGTGCATGACCCTTGATAAATTTACTCATTTGTCTGATGTCATGGACTGCTTCCTGAAGCACCAACCAAGGGGCGGATCCAACGTCGAGTCCCCCCTACACCCACAAGATACATGCATGGATACCCCTGGAGCACCCCTTTCAATTTTTTCACTATGAATGATAAACTAAAAAGATAGCTGGAGATTGAAGAAAATATATAATTGAGCCCCCTAATTTTTTTGTTCCTGATCCGCCCCTGGCACCAACCAATTTTGTTACGAGGAAAACATCAACGAATTATGTACTCACCTAATAAGGTAATATCCAGAATTTGTGATATTAGAAAATGAAAGCTTATATATATTCTTTTGTGCCAATAATCATCCCTATAGTGCACCTACGTGGGCCACGTGGCTACATGCGAACTGGAGTACGTGAGGTCCATGCATTCTGTTATTCTGTCGCTTTCGATTTCTCGCTGTGCCCAGCACACTACTGCGCTGATGGTCCTTCTATTGCAAACACACCAAGACCATGTTTAGATTTCAACTTTTTTTTCTTCAAATTTATAACTTTTTCGTCACATCGAACTTTGCTACCTACACAAAATTTAAACTTTTTCATCATATCGTTTCAATTTCTTTAAACTTTCAATTTTGACGTGAAATTAAACACAGCTCAAATCATTGAAACCGAGACTCATCGGTGCTCTTATCATTTCCTTCGCTTTGTTTGCAAGCTGCCAAAAGCCATTCCAAGGAATATCCATAGTAATATCCGCCCCAAATCATTTTTCACAACAACTAAAGCCAGCCAGGTGGTGGTCTTAGGTAGGTGGTCGGCCATGTGCACGTACGACTAGGGACGCACGAGCTAGCTCTAGCTGCCGCGCACATCGCCCGCCATATGGCCGCGCCCACCGCCTCCAGCGACCTCCGGTTCCTAGTCCTCGTGGGGTCCAACAGTACAAAGGCGTGCACTCAGCCTTCGTCGCAACGCTTCCCGATTTCATTTACTTCATCATTGCGTACATCGACAAATTATGCAAAAATAGTAGTACATGTTTCATTATTACTTTTTTTACTATATATTTACTGATTAAACTCATTAAAGTAGAACTAAATAAAAACATTTTTAACAATAAATTGACCAATATCAGTTCCACATATTAAATATATATATATTGCATAAATTGGTGACCAGTAATGGTTTTTATAGATATGACTATATATTTTCTAAATATAGTATTTATTTGTTAAAAAATCATTCTTCCAAATGATATTGTTTTAAGATGTCTACAATTAAATTCCAAAATATTAGTCACTAATATATGACAAAACTGAAAAATATTAAGATGGAAAAATATTAAGATGTTATATGTAAACATTAGTGTACTAGTCAATTACAAATATATGGTGTTTGACTTTTTCAATGCTTAGTAACTTTCACTAATAATTTTATTTATAAGAAATTTATAAAATGTAATACTACCTCTGTTTCATCATAAGTCGTTTTGATTTTTTATAAGTTAAATTTCTTTAAATCTGACCCTAACCAAGTTTATAGAAAGATATAACAATATTTACAACACCAAATTAGTTTTATTAAATCTAATATTAAGGATTTTTTTATAGTATGTTTATTTTGTGTCAAAAATATTGTTACATTTCTCTATAAACTTAATCAAACAAATAGAAGTTTGACTTACGAAAAAGTTAAAACGACTTATATATGAAAAATATGAAATGAAGGAAGTAAGTTCTAAGAGAATACGATATTATTTTTAAGATAAACCTAGTCATATATTTTTTATGTTTCAAAACTAAATGTTTCAAAACTAACTATTCTTTTTTTAAAAAAATATAGTTAAAATTGTACAGTTGGATCGTAATATGTGCTTCGGAATTCGAGTGGCAAAATATGTGCATCGGAGATTATAGATGGCCATAAGGCCCGAGGCCCAGGCATGGCACGACCCAATTGGGGTTGTGCCCGGGCCGGTCCGACCCGACAGCTAGGCCATGCCTAGGCCGATGCCTTGCCACGGTGGGCCGGCTCGGCATGGCCCGATCTAATGAGGAGGAAGAAAAATAGTTTAGGGACTAAAATTAGACTAAATGCAGCCATATAATTCACGGCCCAAGAGAAAAGGGATGCAAAATAGACTTATTACAATCATTCAAATATGGCCCGAAGAAATGAGGGATGGAAATTAGACTTTTTTTGAAGAAGCACGATGGGTGTCGCGCCTTCGGGCCGGCCCGGCACGGCCCGAGTCGTGTTAGGTCGTGCCTGGGCCGATGCTTCAGCACGTGGGCTGGCAAAGCCCAGTGTGTTGGTTGGGTCATGCCGGCCCGATAGAATATGGTCCAAGCACGGCCGTGCCGCCCAGATGGCCATCTATATCGGAGATTCATCAGACGGATGTACTAAGCAATAATTAAAGAAAAAGAGAGAGCAATGTGCTTAGGCTTAGGTTTATTGGCTTAGATTTTTAATTCAGCTTATTGGCTTATATAATTTATAAATAAGTGGATTTAATGTTCTAAGTTTAATGGTGCAATCATACATCTATATTAAATAAACAAAAAAGCTTCTCCAACCTTTTAGCTAATAGTGTTAAAGTGGCTTATAGTTTCAGATAAGACAAACAAAAAAACTGCTTATTTATTTAGGTTTAGATTTTTCGGCTTATAATAAACCTAAATAAGGAGGGCCTTAAGATTCCTTATGTGGCTTCATGCGACGTGCATGTGGTCCACGCATTCCGTCGCTTTCGGTTCTCCTTGTGCCCAACAAACACACTGCTGACTGCTGATGTCCTTCTGTTGCATTGCACACACCGAATCATTGAGGTTCATCGGTGCTCTTTGCTTGCAAGCGACAAAGCCATTCCAACGAATATCCACAGAAATATCCGCCCCAAATCATTTCCCGCAACAGCAGCCAGCCAGCTGTTCGTCCTAGGGTCATGCGCGGCGCCGCGTACGACTAGGGGACGCGCGCGCCTGCCATGGCCGCGCCCGCAGCCGCCTGCGACCTCCGCTTCCTCCTTGTGGGGTTGTTGTTGGTGGTGGTGGTGGGATCCCGCCTCGTACGGCCCCCCGATGGCGGCGGCATTCCGACGACGCTGGACGGCCCGTTCGAGCCGGCGACGCGGGCGTTCGACCGCGCGCTCCGGCAGGGGAGCGACGACGTGCCGCTCACCGACCCGCGCCTCGCGCCGCGCGCGCGGCCCCCCGCGCCCGAGCAGATCGCGCTCGCCGCCTCCTCCGACGCCACCTCGGTCTGGGTGTCGTGGGTCACCGGCGAGGCGCAGGTGGGATCCCACCTCACCCCGCTCGACCCGTCCACCGTCCGCAGCGAGGTCTGGTACAGCGAGAGGCCCTCCCCGACGGCCGCCGCCGCCGGCGACGTCTCCGGCCACTACCCGCACGTGGCGAGGGGGAAGGCGGAGGTGTACAGCCAGCTCTACCCGTACCCAGGCCTCCTCAACTACACCTCGGGCGCCATCCACCACGTCCGCCTCCGGGGCCTCAGGCCGGCCACGCGCTACTACTACCGCTGCGGCGACAGCTCCGTCCGCGGCGGCGCGGGGCTCAGCGGCGAGCTATCCTTCGAGACGCTCCCCTCCTCCGCCGCCGCGGCGTACCCTCGCCGGGTGGCGGTGGTGGGGGACCTGGGGCTGACCGGCAACTCGACGTCCACCGTCGAACACCTCGCCCGCAACGACCCGTCGCTGGTGGTCGTGGTCGGCGACATGACCTACGCCAACCAGTACCGCACCACCGGCGGCAGAGGCGTCCCCTGCTTCTCCTGCTCCTTCCCCGACGCGCCGCTCCGGGAATCCTACCAACCGCGATGGGATGGCTGGGGAAGGTTAGTAGCTAGTACAAGTGATGCCAAATTCAGTTCCATTTCTTTGTTTGGGATCTGAATTTCGAACAAAGCCATCCAAAATGCATACAAACTAACTTATAATTCTGACAGGAATTTTTCTTTCAGAGGGGAAGTTGCTTTCATTACGTTAAAAGGGGAAAATTTGCAAAATACTACCGCAAAAATACATGGGTTTGCATAATAGCAGATTCAGATGATCCAAATTCTTGTACATTGGAATGACATGTTGGTACTTGAACCACTTGTCAATGACACATACGGTTTCTAGCTACGTAATATTTTGATCCTATTAACAAAATTACCAAATTAAAAAAGAAATCCTAAATAAATGGATTTAAATTGCTTCGTTTTTCAAGTCAGACTTTTGTATATTTTTTAAGGAAGTTTGACTTTTTTAGTTAGCATACACGCAATTGGAAATCAAGAACTTCTGACAAATTTCAAACAAGAAAGCGGGTGAAATTATCCTTGGACTCTGCTTATATAAAGTTTAACTGAAAACATTTGTATGGATTCAGGTTCATGGAGCCGCTCACTTCGAGGATCCCAATGATGGTGATCGAAGGGAACCATGAGATCGAACCACAGGGACAAGGTGGAGCGGTGACCTTTGCATCCTACCTGGCAAGATTCGCCGTTCCATCCGAGGAGTCTGGCTCTAACACCAAGTTCTACTACTCGTTCAATGCCGGGGGCATCCATTTCATCATGCTCGGTGCCTACGTCGACTACAACCGGACAGGTAATCCATCAGCCACTATTCATCTTGATGGCACTCAATATCAGGAATGTATCATTAAGATTTTAGAATTGTTCACATTAAGTTGCATAGTCATGTCAGGCCATTTCATTGTTCATACATTCTCTTGTTGATTGTGGTGACATTTTCGTGCTTATTACATTGTGCGTAGGAGCCCAGTACTCGTGGTTAGAGAAGGATCTGCGAAAGATTGATCGACGAGTCACACCTTGGGTTGTGGCTGCTTGGCACCCGCCCTGGTATAACAGCTATTCCTCGCACTACCAGGAATTTGAGTGCATGAGACAAGCAATGGAAGGGCTCTTGTACCAACATGGTGTCGACATTGTCTTTTCAGGGCATGTAAGCGCATACATTTTGCATTTTAGGCTTAGTTCTTTTTAGATTAGTGAGCAGATTACTGAAAACAGATTATTTGTTCTACTCTTCAAAAAATGCATTTTCTCGAAAAACTTTCTTATACGCCACTTGCATATTTTAAGTTATTTATTAAATTTATTTATAAAAATAATTTAATTTATACCCTATAAACAAGTACATATAATCCCCATAACAATCCGCTCAATAATCTGTTGCAATCTGAGCCATGGTTCCATCTAATAATTAATTTCAATAAGCGGGTGTACATATGTAGGGTTTGTCTGTGCTCTTCCTCGTCTCGGATAATTGATTCAGGCCATAAATTTTTACAAATTCACATATGAATGATCTAAAGGTGCATGCTTATGAGAGGATGAACCGGGTGTTCAACTATACTCTCGACCCCTGTGGGCCGGTCTACATTACCATTGGAGATGGAGGGAACATTGAGAAGATTGATATCGATCATGCTGATGATCCTGGAAAATGTCCCGGTCCTGGTGACAACCACCCTGAATTTGGTGGAGTCTGCCATCTCAACTTCACCTCTGGTCCTGCCAAGGGGAAATTTTGCTGGGAGAAACAGCCGGAGTGGAGCGCGTTCAGGGAGAGCAGTTTCGGACATGGCATCCTAGAGGTTATTCCCAGTTTGTTTATGATATAATGAACACTCAATCACTCTGTTTTTACTACTCCTTCCGTTTTGAATTATTTTTCGTTTTAGTTTTATCCTAAACCAATTTCCTAATTTTGATCATCGATGTATATAGCTTAATTAAGAACATATGCATTATATATTCTGAAAATATTTCTTATGGCCAAATTTAGCTGATATGATTTATGTTATATGTTAATTATATATTGGGAAGTACTCCAACTTCACAGTTGTCACGTGTACGAGTGCAGGTGGTTAATTCTACATATGCATTATGGACATGGCACCGTAACCAGGATGCATATGGAGAAGACAGCGTGGGGGATCAAATCTATATAGTTCGGCAACCGGACAAATGCTTGCTTCAGACTACGAGTGCGTCGTCTGAAAACAACTGGTGATTTTCATTTGATGATGAAATAAATAATCATGAATTTTGTTACAATTTCTTGTTGAAATTTATGCCTCTAATCAACGTCCATGTAAAATATTCTCAATCACTTTGTTTTTTTTTTTACGTTTTATTGAACAGTCCCTCTGAAGGATGCCCTTCTCTAGTGAGCAACAGTGGCTACGGTGCACAGAAGGATATTATTAGAAGTGGCCATCTCATTTGGAATGCTTCTCTAGTCATATGGATGATCTTGATCAGCACAGTTTTCATGAAGGGAAATTTGTGCTCTCGTTTCTAGCCTGGATTGGTCAACAAACAAGAGGAACCAAAGCACCAGCGAACCAAGATGTTATACTGTGTGTGCTCTTGGATTTGTGTGGTGGCCAAAGCTGGACTCTGGTTGGTTGTGTGCAGTAACCATCATTGCTTTTGGTAGTACATACTCCTACATCTACATGAGTTTATGAAATAGTCGTCGGCTTTTATTTACTCAATTGTCAGTGCTGACCATGTTTCCATGAACACGCTGATGCAACTAACTCCTTTTTCTATCTAAAGTAGAATGGTCCAAATAACCAAATGCCTTGAAATGGGTGTAGTGTGGTGTATTTGTTTTTGTTGTTTGAAAGAACAGTGTAGAGGTTTCTATTGGAGTATATACTACTGCAACAACTAGAAGTCAACGACTAAACCATGGGCAATTATTGTATTATTGTATATATAATACTATCTTCATTTTAGATTATAAATTATTTTGACTTTAGTTAAAGATAAGCTACTTAATTTTGACTAAATTTATAGACAAATATAGTGCATTTATAACACCAAATTAATTTCATCGAATATATAATTGAATATATTTTTATAGTATATTTGTCATGTGTTGAATATGTTACTATTTTTTTTCTACAAACATGATTAAACTAACTTGCGGTTTGACTTTTTGATTAAAGTCAAAACAATTTATGATCAGAAACGAAGAGAGGAGAAAGTATTCGTTTGGTGAAGTAACTGATGAAGGACAAGTCTAGTCGGCGGTGGCTATGAAGGTATTTAAAAAAAAATTATGATTAGCATTTTTATTGTTATTACATGATAAAACATGAGTAGTACTTTATGTATGACTATTTTTTTTAATTTTTTCATAAATTTTTCAAATAATACGAATGGTCAAAACGTTAAACACGGATATCTATAGTTGCACTTATTTTGGGACGGAGGTTGTACTTGAAAGGATGTTGCTGCCGGTTGTCACGAGAAAACCATCATTTGCTATCGCGTTGTGGATTTCGATCCAATGCACTGTGATATAAGCAGCCACACTAGGACTGTTAGATGCAAATTCAAGGGCCCAAATTCTATGAAGCACTGTTCACACGCGAGAAAACTGTAGAGGTACTGTAGCAATAGTATTGTAGCATATGATCTCAACCGTCCGCCAAAAAATGAATGGCTGAGATTACGTGCAGTTACTAACTTACCGTCACAGGTAAGACTGCAGTGAATCTCAATTCCCCGTTGTGATATTGGCAATATCAAGCTATCCGGATATGTGACCTTTAGATCAGAGATTAGATAAATGTTTTAAAATTTCAGCAATCAATAATTACTCAAATATGCACTTAAAAATAAAAGAAATGGTATACTTTGCCTTGAAAAACTATAATAATTTCAGTAAGTAAATAGATTTATAAACTTACTTTATGTAAAATTGGTCATTTTAGAAGTTTAACTAAATTATATCCTAAATGAACATTTATGATCGGAGAGATGATTTATGTTTACATATTGGAGATCTTGTGAAAAAAAATAACGGTCGTTAGCTCAAAGAAATAACATAATTAGGTTGTGTTTTGACCCAATATTAATCTCAGATTGTAGCTTCCCACTTTATGATTGAGGCAGTAATTACAGTATCACACTAGTAAGAAGTTATAAAATACTCCCTCTGTCCCAATATGTAGTAATCTAGGATGGGATTAGACTCTAGACGGGTAATATAAAACCATGCCATTATAATTTTGCAAAGTTTGAGATATGCCATCGATATCTCAATGACATGTAGGACCCACATGAGTCAATGACATGTGGGTCAGGATGGCATATCTCAAATTTTACAAAATTATAATGGCATGGTTCCAATTTTCCCCTAGACTGTATGTCTAGATTCGTAGTCCTAAAATAAGTCTAATCCCATCCTACGTTGCTACATATTGGGATGGAGAGAGTATATTATTTTGGTACTTCGACATCTACAACAAAAATGGGTTGTCATATCAACACTTAAACCCAGTTCTCCTTTGCTTGTGACTTGTGAGGGCCCGAGACCGGTATCTCTAGTCCTCATTGTTTAGTCCAAATGCAGATAATACGCCTAGCAAAATAATAATAATAATTTATGAGTAAAACTTTTATATATATATATATGTTATTAGCGACATAAATATTAATGCAGAAAAATAAACTTCAAGAAAAAAGGCTTTAAAATCAACTTCAAATTTAACTTTTAAAATTCAAATTTTGGCAGTGGCTAATGTTGAATGAGAAAATGATGGGAGCCTCTGCATGGCATCCTTTTAAAATTCACCATCCTATTATTTTCAGGCACCATTCGTTTCTATTGTCTCTTATTTAGGCCCTCTTTGTTTAGGCTTAGGCTTATTGGCTTAAACTTTTAAGCCAGCTTATTGGCTTATATGATTTTTATGCCGGTGGATTTAATGTCCTAAGTTTAATGGTGGAGTTATGCATCTACCTCACATAAGCCAAAAAAGTTTCTCCAACCTAGGTTTTAGCTTAATAGTGTTAGAGTGGCTTATGGCTTAAAAAAATCCAAACGAAAAAACCGCTTGTTTGTTTAGGCTTAGACTTTTCGACTTATAAGTTGGCTTATAAGCCTAAACAAAAAGGGCCTTACTTCGATAGATGTGGTTAGAATCCAGTGGGTGTTGCGAACCCAAAATGTGGACCCTGCACATTAAACTAAGGCCGGTGTGCTGAGATGGAGCAAACGGCGCAGATAACTGCACTTCACAACCGTCACGAGCTGCTATCCCCGTCCACTCTCCCTCGATCACCTTTCTTCCCCCTCGCTGGCGCTGCCGCTGGAGCAAGCCTACATCGGCGGTCATCGAGGCGAGCAGACAAATCCAAGGCGTCCCGAGCAAAGGAATCGATTCCGCTCGCCTGATGCCTCGTCCTCCCCCATTGAATCTCCCCCAAGCGGCAGCGCGTAATCTTCCGGGAGTGGTGGCCAAAAGTTGCCGGAAGAGTGCTGTACCCCATCGATTTCAGTCGAGCTGCAACGGAGCAGCCCACAGTGCTCTTGATCTGTTCGTGTCATCCTCGAAGACGGTAAAAGTCAGGCCGACATGCTCGCTGCGCATGTCGTCATCGGCTCCTGTCCAGCCTGCCAGCTTTCCGCACGTGGGCGAGTCCGTCGTCGTACATCCCGTGTGGCACAGAAGTGGCGAGATTCGCAACAAGGTGGCAAAGCTAGCAGTGTTAGAGCCCCCCCCTCTATTTGATGCCGAGTTTGTGGGAAGCGAAAGCGAGAGCTTGAGCTCTCAGCAATTGCATCCCGGACAGCAGTTGTTCAAGCCCCTTCTACAACCCTCCCGATCTCTGTCCAGGCCGCCAATCTGGAGTCTGGTGAGGGTTCCTGCGACTCCTACACCTCCGACGCGGGCACCGCCAAGGCTGGAGAGGACAATGTGCTACATGCCGCCAATGCCCTAACTAAGGTGGTGCCAATTCTCCAGAAGCGGTTATCAAGTTCGTTCAGCGAGTGAGCCCTGCAACCGTCGGGCTATCAATCAATTGGGACGTCATTCTCGATGCTGAATCAACCAATGTAATGCTGACTTGTCGATTTGCTTTATTTCCAAATCAAATTTGTTTGACTTGGATTAGTAGATGTCGGATGGCCGTTTCCGCTGGAGTGATATGGAGCTCCGCTTGTTTCTGGAAAGTTGCTTGGAGGAAATTGCAGCTTACAACATCACCACCAGCAACCCCAAGCCGGTGGCATTGGACAATTTTGGCTAAGAAAATGTATGAGAAGTGTCGTAAGAAGGTGAACAGGAGCCAAATTCAATATATTTGGCATGGGTGTTGGAAGCGGTTGAACATGTGGGTGTGGCTTGAGTCGCAGGCTGCCGGCCTTGGTCGTGATCCGCACATGTCTGCCATTGTTGTCGACGGTGGGAAATATAAGATAGGGTATGTCACTTACCATTTGCATTATACAAGTCCCATGAATACATGTCACTAATTCGTAGTAATGCCAACCATATGATCCCTAGTGTTTCCAATAGAGATCAGTGTATTTGTGTTGTAAATAATAGGACTTGACAATATGTTCGATGCAATCAGCGCTAATCAAATATGACAAACGTTTTTGGATTTTATTTTTTTAAGATATTATGTTTGTATTGGTAAGAACTGCTATGGTAGTACACATTGGCCTTATCTGCAAGATATATTAACATTGTATATATGCATCTCACACCATTGTATATAAGCTTAAAGTAACAATAGCTTTGGCAGTCATATATTGTGCTATTGTGAGCACTTAGGTCAACAAAAATTGTATAATGGTGATGTAAGAATATAGATAGATGGAAATGTTTGTCACACATAGCAATGGGTATTGTGCCAAACATATATCTCAATGTTACTATGCAGTTGACAACTTTAGTTTGAACATGTCAAGTTTAATCTGCTGGACAAGTGGACACGAGGGATGCCATTATGTTGACTTTTTAAAACAATGCATAAATATTCTATTATGAGTGATGTATTGTATTTATAACTTGTCTTTGCGAAATGGATTGTGGTAGTAATCAGGGTAAAAGAAGCATTATTGCTGGAAACCTGCAATATATTACTATTGGCAAAAATATTTTTTTCCTTCCATATGTCTTCTTCCCAGCACAAAACTGAGTAATCCCATTTAATCTAATCATGTAATTCTGCTTATTATTACTTGTGTTCAAATAGACTGTGTGAAAATGTGAAACATGTCATTTCTTACATTTTTAATCCTTTACAACTATAGGATGGGCTGCTGATGATTTGTGCTAAAATTAGCAGTACCATTTTTAGTACACAAGTTGGCAATGGCTATTCTGTCAATGAAAACTATATCCATGAGTACCCTTGGGTAAACTGATTTTAAATAGTCACTTTTACATGTTTGCTTTAACATACATGTAGTGCTCTTCAGTTTGACTGAAAGTATTAGGCTAATACTTTTAGTAAATTATTAATTTCCAGTATTTGGTAGCATTAGGCTAAGTTCTAACTGAAAGTAGTAGTTCAGTCGGAGTAAAATTCTGAAAAGTAATTTTTTTAATGTACAACATATTTGCTGAAAAAATAATTCTGACTGGGCAATAATTTTTTGCTTGATCACCCATAGTAATTATAATTATGCATTTGCACACATAGGTAGAACACATTGCTGACTAGCTAAAACTTCCACAATGAAAGGCTGCAGATGTAATATGTGGTGATTGTAGTAATACATGTGAGATTGCAGTAATTTGTGATATGTGTGCATTCCATTTTCTTTGACTTTGGTTGCAGCACAACATTTCCATTTTTTCCAACTGTTTTCATGTTGGAAAAACTAAGTCTTTTTTCCCTTATGTTGTACATGTCATGCTACCAAATTTTCTTTCTTTGGATTGTTTGTTCTGACTTGTGCATGTTTAAAAT